AACACTTTCTATTCCAACAAGACACTTCACCTCAACAATACTTTTCACCTCAACAAGGCTCTTCCCAACAATATCTCCCACCCCAACAATACTTTTCACCTCAACAAGACTCTTCCCAACAATATTCCCCACCCCAACAAAGTCTCACAGCCCAACAATGCTTTTTGTCTCAACCCTATCTCCTGAATCAACCAAATTCTTTAGATGTTCAGGAAGTGGAATTTGAATACTACTATACCCAGAATAAAGTAGAAAATTTTATGAACCAATGGGTTGAATAATCTTGCAATAATGCAGTTATGAATTCATAAAGATTTAAATAAACTCACCATTGATCTTTCTCATAATGCAATAATGTTTTTTGGTTTGCGACAAATTTATGGAATACCCAAGAATCTTATTTTTACTATGCTAATCAAAGTTTTCAGGTTAAAGCACATCATTATATCTATATTTCTATGTCTAATAAAGTGCGTCAAAATGGGTTGAATAGAGGGAAGATAGGTTAGATGCTTATCGATATAAATCAGAGGTTCAAGAAATTTTTAGCAATCAAATTTTAATTTAATTTCATAAATTCGTGATGTTTATGCTTGCAAGACAAAAATTTTAAAAAAAAAAGTTTTGCATTAGCGAGAAAAAAATTGATAGGATTATCGTTAGTCTTTGATTTGTACCTGGGTATCTTACAAAATCCATGTTAAATGAACTTGTAATATACCCGGTACAAATCAAGGAAGGTACCGATCAAGGGGGGTACCTTGCACGGCAGTTTATAGTAATTATTTTCAAATTTGGGTCCCAATGTGTAAATTTCCCTAAAATGTACTTCTGGTTTGTTCAATTCGTTAATCTATTATCTATACTGCATTCCAAAATTGTTTTTTATCCTCAAAGTTCTTGACATATCTTTTAAAAATCTGCTTATAACAAACACCATGTCGGATACATTAAAGATCGGCATTTTACTAATATGGAAAATGTTCGCTCGGCCCTGGACAGCTACTCTGTTGAATTCACTTTGCCATATAAGTTTAGAACTAACAAACCAAATAAGCTGCTTGTTGTTTGTCCCATAAATGAAAATAGTTCATGCCCATTTACTATTTCGGCTAACAAGCAAAAAGATGGTTACATTATATAGTAAGGCTAATTCCTTACGATTCAACTTGTCCAACATCTGTGAAAGCATTTGTAAAGTTTACTGCGCCAAAGATATACTAGTTCTTTGACCCATGATATTATGAATCATATTCGTTCAGAAGTGGGAGCCAAGACGTCATATATGGCTGTTTGGAGAAGTAAAACTATTACTAAAAAACATGGTGTAGAGGAAATAAATCAGAGCTATCAACGTATTAAGTAATTACTTGACAACTTGCTTATGGAAAACCCTGGAAGCATTACAACGTTCGAAGTTAGATGCCCGATTCACCTGTGCATTTATGTGTTTATAACCGGAAAACCAGGTTACCTGTGGAAAATGTAATAAAAAAGATCATAA